GAGTCCTCCACCAGACCCCTGAGTCCTCCACCAGACCCCTGAGTCCTGGTATAGATGGGAACTCTTACTTTAAGCCAAACACTCCATGGGACGGCCGATTCGGACTGCCGATCAAGCCAGGGGTGGTGCCAGGGGGGTCTGGCTGTTTCGAAGGCAGTCCGTCGCAGTCCCAGGTCCGGGTCGTGTCTGGGCCTTATACTTCAGCCAATTCTTTCAATTCCGCCACACCCGCCTCCATGACCTTGCTCCACTTCACGCCAAACCTGGCGCGGTTGCACTCCAGGAGCTGAAGGGTCATGGGTCCTGGGTGCCTGGTGGAGAAACATCCACTTTCTTTCTACTCCAAAAAATGAGGATGAAAAGGAGTGATCAAAGGTCCCCAAAGAGGTGGAACGTCGACCTGAACTAGGGTACCTATGGGAGGGTCTATGTTTCTTCAACCTCTGTTGGCCCCTTCAAAGGAAAAAAAGGCCCTTGCTGTCCGAAACCATGCAACTTGGAGGGGACCTCCGTGTGCACTCCAAAGTAATGTAGACTCCTGATCAGTAAACCCCCAAGCCTAAAAAGGTCTTACAATCCATGTCATGGGGGGTGTTATTAATCAAGAGATATCAAGGGTCTACATTCAGGGAGGCCTACGGCATCCCATTCCCTAAAGCTCTACACTCCGAGTAACTCACATAGAAGTGAACAACCACCTGTTTGTAGAGGACAACGGCCATTTCCACTCCTGAAGCAATCATGGAAAAGGATGGCATGACCCTTGGTTCAAGACCATGTTGCTCTACAAACAGGGGAATTGTCCACTGACCGTCCGCGTCCATGTTTGAGCGGAGTTATGAGGCGATATACAATCCCTGGAACTAACATGGAAGCGGACGTCCTGGCCTCTTGGAAGACCATGAAATCCACTACAAACAGGGTGTGCCATCCACGTAACCATGTAAGTCAAGGAACAATGCCGCCGTTTCGTCACCACGGACTCAATGCACTCTCTAGTGACTTAACCAGGCGACCAGGCGATAGATTCCCTTCCCAAAACTCCTCCTGGCCCAAGGCGCTGCTTCTCAAATTCTTCTTGGGATTTCTCCTGGCGCTGAGACAGAAAGCTGCATCGAAAGCTGCATCAGCCGACAGCTTGCACTCTGAAACAGCGAAGGAATGCGTACGCGTTTTTGCGGGGTGTATATTTTTAACAGGGAGGCACCCAACCAATAACTTTTTGGTCTATCTTCCTTCTTGCAGGGTCTTTGGGAGGTCTCCCAATTTTCATACGCTGCACCCATATAACTATGGCCTTGTTCAAGGAGCGGACCGAGAAAATGGAGAAGAACAAGACTCAAAGACCAAACATCCTGAGAATCGAAGAACATCTGCCACCCAGCTCCAGCCATCGAAAAACACCTCGCCCCATCCGCCCTCCGGCGTCCGTCCCCTCTTCCTCCGGTACCTCCGCTCGCCTGGACTGTGAGGTCCTTCGGCTTCATCATCACCGCCTTGGCGGCGATGGCGCCGTAGTGGATGTCGATGAGCTTCTTCTTGTCCTGACACGGAGGCGCAGGCGGCGAAGGCGCGTGCGTTTTGGGAGGGAGCCGTTTGGAGTGTGGAGTGTGGATGAGGGGGCTTCGAAGCCATCGAGGTTTCTTGCGAAATATGGGTGGAGTTGAAGACTATAGCACAAAACATGTTACATTTTGATCAAACTCTTTGATCATCTTTAGATAATCCTTTTTTTTGGATGGATTGGATGCCTTTGCTTTACCAACCAACTACAGTCATTGGTTGGAAAGCTCGTTTCACCTTGAGAAAGCACCTTCACCACCTGCCCGCGTTCCACCGTGGCACCATCGCCCAACTTCTTAGGTCCCACTTTCCTCATCACCCCCGCCCTGATTACACCGCCAACCTCGCACCCCACCTCACCTCCCCCCTCGAATTCTGCCGGCCCGATCGAACTCAGACGGAATTCCACCCCCAGCAACCCGCAATTCCAAGGGTCGATGAGGGTGGACTTGATGGCACCCTCTGCTTTGATGGTGAGCCCCGAGCCACTGAGCTTCTCCTGGTCCCATCGGCTCGCCCGGCTCGGTCAGGCGAGGGCGACGCACCGGGAGGACGGACGGACAGGGGCGTCGGTGGTGTTGCGAAGTCTGGCTGAAAGTGGAAAGGGGGGGGGTGAGTGGTGAAGGTGGGATGATACATGCAAGGCAAAGTTGGAGGTGTCAGAAGGAAGGTGGGAAACTCTGGGAAACGGAAGTGAACATGAAATGACTTCAAAATGTTGCTTGAGGAGGATGTCTCTTCCAGGAGTCACAACGGGGTGATGTTTGGTCCCTAAATGAGTTGAGAATGGGCACCCCCTAACCTCCATTAAGCGCCCCCTTTTGTGACTGCTGGTTGGATATCTGTGGATCAAAATTTGGCGATGTGGGTCACACTTGGCCCTTCCAATGGGCTTGGTGTCCGTGACACATGAGGCTGACACATGTTCTACTCCACTCATCTTCTCTCCCAAGCTGCCAGGGGTGCTTAGCCACTGAGAGGTGCTTTAGCCACCCACTGACTTCTCACGACCTACGAATGCGCCGCGTGTAACGACATGCTGCGTGTGGCAGACATGTCCGGGGTGCCCAGCTCACTGGGAGGATCGGGGTGCCCAGCTTCTCCACTCGGGATCGGACGAAAACATCCACCCCACTCCATGTGGCATGGAAGGGTTGGTGGAATCCGTGTTCAGTTCTCAAGTGCAGGGAATTCCGGATTTTAGACATGGTCTTTCCACACCCATATATTAATGGACATCAATGACCTACGCACCGAAGAAAGACACATGATTCCCTTGCCCCATGGTCCTTCTGAAGCTCTGCATGCTCTGCTAATTCAGAAGTAGAAAAACATGCAAAAGCACCGCCACGACTGGTGAAACCCGTCGTTGGAGCCACCCAGCGGCTCAACCCCGCCGCGGGTTTCCGCCGGTGGATCCTTCCTTCACGTCTCCAAGATCTTCGGGGGATGTGTTGTGCGGCGCCGTTTTTGGCACGTCCATTCCCAGACCATCCATGTATGGAATAGTTGCATACATTTACCGTACCATACCGTTCCCCATTTAAGACACCAATGTAGGTAACTATTCCATACATGGATGGTCTGGGATTCCACCTGAGTGACGGACCCGTCCTTCACCAGCGCTTGCACCTTCTCGTTGTTCCTGGGGCGCTGGGCGGCGGCGCTGGCCGGAGTTTGGGCGGCTTTGGGGCAGGCTCCGAGTGCTGAACCCAGCAAGGGTTCAAAGTTTGAGGTGGATTTGCTCACCCCCTAGGGATCCAAGTACCTTCTCAGAAGGTGATTGGAGACTATGTATGAGGCTTGGAGGGCCCAAGTATCTTTTGAGAAGGTATGTGGATCCCTTTTGGGACCCCATTATAGGGCTCCAGTCATACCTTTTTCGGTGGGACGGGGCTGGGTGCCAGGAGGGTCGAGTCATACCGAACCTGAGGAGGTACTTGGAGACCTATGGGCCAACAACCCCGGAAAAAGCACAACTATTCCCCCGGTTTTGCCATGCAAGTTAGGTCTTTGAACCAAAAGTAGCTAGCCTTGCGCCTGACCGATCGGGCCTGCCCCACCCAGCGTCCAGTTCCCTGGTGGTCCAAGCGTCGCATGGGGCTTGATGAACACGAAGGCCGTGTGGCTCTTGCCCCCGGCCTCGATGGTCTCAGCGCTCAGGCATTCACCTCGGGAGACGGCGTCCGGCGGCCCGGTTGGAGACGGGTGCACCGATGGGTGCAAACAGATGGGGGGAGACAGCGATTGGGGCTTCCAAATGGGTGCGATTGGGGCTCCAACTGTTAAAAGGATCGGCTGGATGAAACAGTGAAACATACCAGGACCCTCCGACCTTCGGGATGCCCTGACTGGAAGCCTTTTCGTGCGGTAGATCGTGTGGGGTAGTCGTTCGCCAGGACACCCCGAAGGTCGGAGGGTCCAGGTACATTGATTCCTGAAATCAACGTTCCAACAAATCCCCACAGCTATGGCCTATGGCAGTCCATGGCGGTCCCAAATGGCGGTCGTGGGTTTGGGCCTGAGATCCGGAGATCGTCTTTTGTTCTTGTTACCCTGGGATCAGTGTGGAGGGTCCTGGATCGTCTATGGGTGAATCCGCCGGAATCCGCTGGTCGATGGTGCTGCCGACGAATTGTCCTTCCCGGCCTTCCCCAAAGTACATTGGACGGTTCTCAAGTGTACCACGGATCTCATAACACTGCTTTCCGTGGTACATGACGGAGAACCGTCCAATGGGGTTATTGCATGACGTTGGCAATGGGGTTTAGTACATGACGGGAATATGCCACCAAAAGTACGCCTTTCCAGTGCCATTCCCGCCAATGGGGTTATTGCATGGCAAGTGATGCAATTTACCATATGTTGGTCGCGACAGGCAGAAAAATGCGCGCGTTCCCTGCAGCGTCTGAGCCATTCGGGCCCGGTGATAGGCCAAAAATCAAGGTGAACGGAGCTTTCCACCAAAAATCGTTTTTTCTGGAGTGCCTTCCCCCATTTTTTTTACGCTTCAAGCAGCCATACGGTACTAGCCGGTAGCCTACTGCCTTCCCCCAAAAACGAAAAGGTGAAAGCAGGTGATCCACACCAACGGGTGTTGGGTGAAAGCAGGTGAAAGCATGTTTGGATCAAAACGGCGAAGATCCTTTCGCTCCTTTCCCACGTGTGAAACGCCCAGCAGCCTGTGGTCTTCATGATGATGTTGGTCACCTGAGGCCAGTTCTGGCTTCCAAGAACTTGATCAGAACTGGATTCCGGATTGATCCATCCCAAATCCAAGGTTGAACAACAAAACAGTTAGTTGCGTGGTCAACACGAGTCAACCTCCTTTCAAGAAGTCAGTGGTAATCTCCATCTGCTTTCAGGAATGCCTAGGACGTGTCGGCCTACTCCACTCGCGACGCTTTGGGTGGCCTGTTCCGCACGCGGCGCTTAGGTTGCTCCGCAGCTCCGCAGCTCGTGGTTCATGCGGAAGGCAAACGATCAACTCATTGGTACCACAAAAAGAACCGCGTGAAAGCAACAGTCAACAAACCCAGACAATCCATGTATGGAATAGTTACCTACATTGGTGTCTTAAATGGGGTAAATGTATGCAACTATTCCATACATGGATGGTCTGGGAAAGACCGACGTGTCCTTTTCCTTTGTTCCGTGCATGTGTCGCATCTATCAGTGGGTTCAATCATTCCGGAATCCCAAGTAAAGGTTGACAATATAAGTTATTCGCTAGGTTATTCATGAAACATTCTGAAGCCCACCACCTCCAGTCCTATTGTTCTCTTCACCCAGGGCGCTCGATAGGGGTCGCAATTGGCCCCTGGCCGCCGGTCCTGTCAAGATCGAGAAAGATCGCCTGCCTGTGGAACGAGCCTTCTTGGATTTGCTTATTTTCTGAGTAGATGGCACAAACCTCAACATGTTCTTTACATGGGGGTTCATATAAACCACCTCTTGGGGTTTGTGCTGTCTACTCTCAATCCTCTCAATGCCATCTGCTCTCAATCAACATATTCCCCAGGTTCGGGGATTCACCCACATGGGAAGTTGCTATCAATTATAAGCAAAACTATAGGCGTTGGAACCCTACCAGGGCCCAAGCAAAATGAATTATCTGAGTCTGAATTCCAACAAAGTTTCTGAAGAGGAAGTTCCATTCACTCAATGTTGCCATGAGCGCAATCCACCATGGATTTGGGTCGTCCACTTTATATATAGCATATTATGGCCCCTTCTTGGCTAAGTCGACGCAGCACATCCACCTCCCCCGGGCACCCTGTCCCCACCAGCGCGCCCAGGCCATGCCCACGCTGTCTTCCCGCGTCCGCGGGCCGTCCTCCATGTAGCCGCGCCCGCTCTTCTCCGCCTCTCGCGGGATACGAATGGAGGCACCTCGGTTGGCCACGCCGTACCTGGGCGACGGTCAGCAGCTGCGGGGAGGTTCGCAGCTGGTGCAGGTGGGTCTTCAGCAGTGACCCAGTGATCTCAGTGGGTGGGTGAACCTACCCAGTGGGTGGGTGGATGGGTGGTTTGGAGTTTGGAGGTGAAATCTGATGCTATTCCTGTCCGTTACCCTCTCAACCGCAAAAAGGATGCGGTAACGAGGGCCAAACGGTGCAAGTACTTCTGGTGGTAGTTGATCAGTCTGAGCGGGGGTCGCCTCTGTTCTCTATGCTGTTGAGTTTTCGATTTCAGCTGTGCGAGTCGGAGAGGATTTCAGACTCGTCACGGTCAGAGGCTGAGGGATTTGGGCTGAGATGGATTTGGAGGTCTCTGGAGGTGAGCTCTCAAGTTACTAAGAGGTGAGCAACTCAGGCACGCTCCCTGAAATATCATGGAAGTGGAAAATGGACATTGACATTGACCGTTTTCCTACACAAACCGTTTTTTTCCTCAGCTTCCATGATTATTTGAGAGCAATCCAAATCAACCATCTATAGCTGCACCTCGCCCTGGTTGGGTCTTGAACTGGTGGTTTTGGGTATGGATTATGGATCAAAACTGGACTTGGGATGTGTACTTGTTTTTGGTATATTTTAATTTATTTTAATGATCAATTACCTTGCCTAAATATGCCTAATGGTTCTTTCATCAACCGCTTGGTGCCATTCACAGCAACCTTGCTCGCATCACCGGATGGCTGTGGAAAGAATGCGCCTGCCAACCACCCGCTGTCCATGTATGTACAGACCCACCTTCTCAGGGAGGTCTTGGGAGCCCGATCTTGGATGCCACACATGCACGCTTTGGCTTCGTTGGTTACTTTATGAAGAGTGATTCCCCGAAAAAATAGAAACAGTTTCCAATACAATTTTTAGTGGGGATCTACTTTTCTACTACATCTATCTATTTGGGGATTTTGGGGGCCTATATATTTAAGTTAGTGTACAGTGTACTTTCTATGATGGTATCTGGGCGCTCTCGAATCTCGAGCCTGTAGCCCGAGACGGTTTGCAAAACTGGCACGCACACTGTGCCGCCCGACGCCCCTTTTTCTCGGTGCCAGGCACATGTCTGGGACACTTCTCCCCGTGTCACCAACCCCAGAGTGTTTGCCATCATTCCGCCATATCCCGCCCTTGTCCCCCTGCAACTGTGATGCAGGAGAGTGGCTTGGAAAGAAATATGCTGTAAGAGGTCAATCTTGTTGCTACATCACTCGTGTGCACTTGTTGCTACATGCGTCTTGTGGAAACAGCTCCATTCGTTAGAGACCCGCCTCAATGCCCAACAATCCTCAGGCAAGCCAACCGGCGTTCTTCAGGCGTCGGTGGGCTCTGCGGAGGCGCTTCAGCCGCGGCATGATGCATTCAGCCTGGCGAGAACAAGCCGTGGGCGGAGCGATCTCTCGATGCACTCGTGTTGGCCGTGTTACGGTATGTGCGTTCAAATGTACGGTACGGTACGCTGCATGCTCCCAAACACCCCAGGTGGGGGGGCAAGGTAGGCATGCGGCAAATATAGTCCACACATGGAGTGTCTGGGTTTGGGATGGCAATTGATGGCTTTCATTGATGTTTTCCTGGATAGGAGGTTGAGTTGAAGGACTGTTTGGTGGGGCATAATCTGGGGGGCCTGGGTGAAAACGAAGATATTGGTACCCAAATCCTTTGAGTGGGCCCAAACCCTTGGAGTAGGTAAATATGCCATACATGGAGTGTCTGGGATAGACATGGCACAAAAATGGAGGGTGTTGCGATGGTGTAAAGCATTGCCGGCATTGCTGATGTCAAGCCTCCGCGGGGTTCCTGCTCTCTTCTGCTCCGCTCCTAGCTACTCCCACCTAGTCCTACCAAGTCCTCCCCTGCAAATGAACATGACCCCATGTTAGCACTGCTTGATAACGGGTCTGACCCATCTTCCCAAGCACAGATGGGTGTGATTCAGCGCTCCAGGCAGGCATGCATCTCTGGAACGTGGCGCGCATGGTCAGACGCCGTCCACCGCCCCCGTTGGTTTGAGCCCGGACCTGATGAGAAGAGATCATGTCCACAGTGATCTCCTGTGCACATCCGAGTGGAGGAGAACCACCATGACCAAAGGACGTGTTGCTGATCAATCAGCACGAGGCAGTAAGCTGATGTAAGCTGTAAGCACGACCCCCCCCCCATGTCAAAGCCCTAAACCCCCCACGTCGACCAACTATGGCCTCATCCTGAAGGGTCGGGTCGTCCGATGATATACAGTACCTGGACCTTCTGTCTGGAGGTCCCATAGTGGTGGGCTGGGGCTTCCACTGCTGGTATGCAGGTTGACCAAGGTTGACCAATTGAAGCACGTTTGAAACCATTGGAACCCAGCAGCACTCAGTTATACTCAGTTCACAGCCTCCGGCAGTTGATTCACCCAGTCTCCTTGGTACATCGTTTGCATCGCCGCTTTCTCTTGGGGCATCTGAGCTTGTGCGCGTTCAGCTTCTCGACGATGATGTCTCTTCCACACAGATCGCAAGGCACACGGCGCTTGGGGCATTCCTCCTGGGTGGTGGCGAGCGGTGCACAGCGGCTTGGCTTGACAGCTGCTTCGCCATGATATCCGATATCCCGAACAGTCCTATAGAACGCGACGAGGTATAGTTGACCACCTAAGAACACACCGGCCAAAAGTACACCCCCGAATCCTGAGATTCTAAATGAAGCCGCAACCTTCCCAGAAACTTGGCCCAGCAACAAGTTGACCAACCACGATCCAAGTCCAATCAACCCCTTAAGTACAAGTATAGGTGCAAGCACCTGTCCCTTCGCAGCGCACCTGTCCTTCGCGCAACTCGGACACTCTGTCCTTCTGGTGGAAAGGCACGTCGGTACTGAGCAGCTCCGTCCTGCATTGCTCGCAGCGCACCCGTTGTCTTTCACACCGGGCCCCGTGCGATGACCAGTCGCGCAAGCGCAGGCGCGCTCCGCAGCCCCAGCGGCATCGGAGCATGAGGTTCAGGACCTTTCGCCTTGGACGGCTTCGAATCTGGTACCGCCCCCGCCCGCGGACCCTACCCGACACCTTGGCCGGGAGGTACCCTAGCTTCTTCTTGGCAAGGGGTCTGGGGGCCAGCCGGGCCCCTCCAAAAACCCTTACCCAGACACTCCATGTATGCTATATATGATATATATGCCGATCAGTTGGGGTGGTGCCAGGGGGGTCAATGGGGCGCCATAGTATGGCAGTCCCATGAGTCGCGTCTGGGTTCGTGGTTTGAGGGTCCGGATCGGCCCGGCACGGTCAGGAACGGACCGGATCGATCGTTTGGTCCGTGGTCACACACGCTGGAAACACTCATCATGCATCCCTGTGGCGGGGGGGCACCCGGCCTCCAGCTTCTTCTTTCGTGACCTTATGGGGTCTTTTAAGTGATCACGGGGACCGGGGGATCACGGGGATGCTACGGTCACTTTGAAGAACCCGGCTGTTTTCCTCTACATGTTAGTTTTCGGGGCCCGTCATCGGTGAGTCTGCCGAACTGGAACCCCTGGTGACCAGCGACATCGTGGTAGCTGGACGCCCTGAGTGATATTTTATATTAACATGCTGGCTGGTTGTGCCCTGAGTTGCGCCGAAGCCTAAGGAAACGTCGATCGGTCGGAAGGCAGTTCCCGTTCTGGAGCCACTGAATGACACGCCAAACCACGCCAAACTCCCAAACTCCCAAACCATCCCACGGATTGCAAAAAGAATCAAAAAAATACCAAAACCATCCAGAACCCTTCAGTTGGCTCGAATGAATACGTATGTTCCATATACTATACCCTGGGAGTCAAAGACTATAAAAAGAATAGTCTTTAGGTGACACGAAGAGGAATGTCCTTTACTTCAGTAAGTCAAAATATAGTCTTTGGACTTCTAGGGCTATATATAAATATATCTTATATCACCTGGATGACTGGAGCGTCTTATTGGAGCCAAGTGGCCGATCCCTAGGGGCTTTCACCACATCCCGAGCATCCTGGCGACAGACTGGGCAGCTGCGATGGGAAGCGATCCACTTGGTCCAGCAGATCTCGCAAAAGAGGTTGCCGCAATCATGTGCCAAGGCATCACGCGCCACTGACAAGCAAATGGCACACTCGAAACTATTGGCTTCACTTGGGTCACACCACTGGTGTTCATGTCCAGCATTCACCTCCTCCTCTTCCTCCTCTTCCTCTTCCTCCTCTTCCTCCTCTTCTTCCTCCTCTTCCTCCTCTTCCTCCATGTCTTCAGAGGTTGTCTCGGAGCAATTCTCTTCACGCAACTCCTGCTTCCAACCCTCCAAGGTCTGGCTGAAGGGTCTCGTTCTGCTCACCCGTCCCCCTTCGCCCGCGGAACCTGCGGAACCTGCGCCCGGCGGGGGGTGCGTCTGGGCCGCTCGGCCATGCCAGGCGAAGGTCACGTGCCCGTCGCCGAAGTCGCCTTCGATACCTGGAAGGCCGCGACGGAGACGGGTGAGACATGACCGAGCAGTTGACTCCTCAAACCACCCCAATGTACCCAGACACGACCCGTCTGGGACTGCCATAGGACTGCTGAGAAACGGCCAGGGGTGATGGTTTGAGGGGTCAGTGGGGCGGCATATATGGCAGTCCCATGGAGTGTCTGGGGTAGGTAAATATGTCAGTCCAGACGGTCAGCGTCCGGGATATAATTCCGATCTCTTGCCCAACCCAATGTGGGCTACGGGACTGCTGTGCCATGGATCGTCTGGGTCGGGGTGGTTACACCCTCATGGAGTGCCCGTCCAATCATCTGAAGAATCATAAAGAATCTAAAGTAAGAGTCCCAAACACTCCGTCTAAAACATTCTAAAGCTCCATGTATGCCAGCCATATTTACCGATCAGTTGGGGTGGTTTCAGGGGTCAGTGTAGCGGTAAAATTAGGGAAATATGCTATTAAACATTGGGTAAAGTAAGAGTCATGGAAGGCCTGACACAAACAACCTTCCAGCTCAGGGGTTGCGAAGGCACACCCTGGGACACTCATGGCAACCCAAGCTACCGAGACTTAAGACACTGTTCGTTGTCTGATTAGATTCCGGAAACCTTTCGTCTCAAATCCCTATCCCAGACACTCCATGGGACTGGCATATATGCCTACATTGGGGTGGTTTGGGGGGGTCAATGGGGCGGCATATATTCCAGTCCCATGATGTCCCATGGAGGTATAGTGTTGGGAGCTAGGAGCATCCGGGGCCGTTGGCACCGAAAAAACCCGCGTGGAACACCCGGGTGGACACCCTCGTGGACACCCTCCCGACCTCGCCGTCTCCCAGCCGGCCAGTAAACTCAAATCCGTCCAAGTGGTGGATCTCCTGTCACGACCAGGTTCTCATATCATCTCATATCCCTAGGGGTCCAGTCGTACCGAACCTCAGGTTCGGCACGACTGGACCCTCCTGGCACCTACATGTCACAGTGCCTCCAATCACCGTACCTGAGAAGGTACAACTGGACCCGTAGGGATCCCTAGGGTATGTTCTCCTCAAATCCCCAACGACCCCCAATACCCCCCCGCCAATGTCCCGACCGACGACTGACGACCGAGGACGACCGAGGACGGCCGTCGAGGTGCAGGTGGGCAAGGTCCCCGTGAAGGCCACGTGCGCCATGGCGCCGGCCGCCGGTGACACGCCGCGGCTCCCCGCGCTGGGGTCGACACGCTGCGGGTGGGTCGACAGTCGAGACATGCATGGGTCGTTACACCGTGATCTTAAGAGGATCCATGGTGGCGTGGTTTTCGTGACCTACATGAAAACCACCAGTCATGGGTCTCGTTATGCACTTTGTTTGGAAATACTCATGGTCCACGTGGAAGCCATGGCCACGATACTGGCCACGATATCAAAGGACCAAATCCGAAGACCAATTGGACAGGGTGGTGGTGCTGTAAGCTTTCACTTCGGATGGTGAAATGCCTGGCCCCCCTTGGAATGGAGTTCCGAAAGCATGGAGCCTGGCTTTGTGGATCCATGGATTTCAACCCATGAGGTCAGCATCAGGTGTTGGGATTTGGTTGGTGGCCAGTATTGCATTTGGTCAGGCACATGGCCTAGTCGAGCCTCAATGCCATTGCAAAACCCCCCATGGAGAATGATTTCCAAGTTGTTTTTTGTTGAAGCAACTAGTTGGCAACTCCGGTTGTAAGGTGGCTTGCTGAAAAGGCATCTGAATTAGGCCATCCACTTTGCTTTCTGGCTTTCTCTCAAAGCACTCCGTGTCTCACTAGTAAGGGGTTGGGGGACTCCTTGTAGCTCCTCGGCTCCCTGGTGAATGGGGAATATGGATGCCCCTGGCTCCTTAGCTCCCTCCTGAGCAAAAGCTAGCTCATTACTTTTTGCATCCAAAGATGCTTGAAAGTGTTGATGTCGCAGGTCTCGTGCTTGCCTGCCGGTCGGAGGTCTTCCGTCGGGGTCGCAACGAAGAAACAGTGACCGAAACAGTCTGGATTGCTGCTGACAAGCTGCAGGAGACAAATCCTGCACCAGCTGAAACTTTAAAACATCCCAAACCAACTGTATAGACACCATCAAGGCCATGACTATATTCCAAGAGGACAAGCCCCGAACTTTGGAGGAGCAAAAAATGGTCTCACATTCAGGATTGAGATCTGCGGAAAATTGTTGAAACCTTGTCCTGTGCAGGCATTCATAATCATTCCTTTCGGGAGCTTGTTGAAACTGTGCCTATGTAGTAGGGCTAGCTAGTGGATGAAACTGCTAGTGTCTTTTTTCCTGCTTTGGGCAGTGCTTCTTCCGGACCATCTCAGCGCGGAGCGCTTCCTCGCCTGTCAGACGCTTGTCGTTGCCCTCACCGTACTCCTTGATGTGCTCCTTGGCCACCTTGCCAAAGGCCTCGCACACCTGAACCCGCGGCGAACGGGCCACGTAACCGCGGGTTCGCGCGGTGGAGGTGGGGTGAAGGTGGAGTCCGGGGCCGAGTCCGACCGAGGTTCGGGCATGGCCCCGAGGTGCCCAGAAGCTCTTCGACTTGATTTCATATAGCCAAAGGCCCCCATGGGACTCCCAGACACTTCATGGGACTGCCATAGGACTGCCGATCAGGCCAGGGGTGGTGCCAGAGGGGTCAATGGGGCGGCATATATGGCAGTCCCATGGAGTGTCTTGGTTACTGGAATTTACTATACTGATCCCTCTGGCCCCGAATTCCGGCCTGATCGATATGCAGTATGCGATCGTCCCATGGAGCGCCTGGGATACAGTCGTCTTGTATGTCTTTGTACGTTCCACCTGCCTCCCATGAGAACTCGCCTTCCCCGCTTAGGCTAGCCTGGGGGATCACACCAGCACCAGGAAAACCAGACCTTGCGACCCTGTGTGGTGCGTGGGAAACCGCCGGTGTCGAGGTGGCGATGAGTGGCTCACTGAGTGGCTCTTGTTTCGCTCACATCTGACCATCCGAGAGCTTTCTCACTTCTCCAGAACCATGTCCCACTCGCTGATGTCCCATTGATTGCGCCCCTGGTAAACACCCCTGGAACCCCCCTCCCACCCCACCCGATTTGGACCTTGATGATGGTGTCATAGCCTCCAGCCACACGCATCGGCGTGACGCTGAAGTTGGTATGGCACCCGGCGCCGTTCCAGTCGCCCTCCGCGGGCTTCGGGTCCTGGCCACGGCCCACGGCAGACAGTCGGTGGCGTCGAGAGGTTGGGGGAGGGGCCCTTGGGGGCCTTCCAAAAGCGAAAGAAAGGTTGACCTGGTTGACCTGGTTTTGTAGCATGCAAAACCCCAGAGGATCCCAGGCAAACCACTATATAAGGAACCAGGGATTCGTTCGGTCTATGGGTTTAGTCTTTGGAACCACTGGTTACCAGCCATAACTGGATGCCCTGGGAAATAGTAGATCAATTGTTTGGTGGCAACATGTAGCAACCATCACATCGATGCAAACTCGAATCCTTTTAAGGGATCTGTGTTAGGGTTCTGCTTCACCGATCAAAGGTGCAAGGGGGGCAGAAACCCACAAGGCATCCTGCCCATCTGCCGTCTCCGGAGTCGACATGCAGTGGTCATCCTCAACTTCTGACTAATGCACCACTCAGTTCTTGGATGGCAAAACCCAGTCACGTCAAGGGTCTACGAATGACCGTCTTGGAAATTCCCCTAGGGATCCAGTCGTATCTCCTCAGGTTCGGTATGACTGGACCCGGACCCTGGCACCCGGCCCAGTCCCACCGAAGCGCTTCGGCACGACTGGAATGTCTATAGCCCAGACACTCCATGTATGCCATATATGCCGCCCCATTGACCCCTCAAACCACCCCAACTGATCGGCATATATGGCAGTCCCATGAAGTGTCTGGGTAGGGTTTGCTCATAACATCAAAATCTGCTCATGCAACCGATGCCGGTGACACCGTCTCACCAAGTCTCCGATCCCGGAAGTCGAGTTCCAAGCGGCGAAGGAGCACACGCAGTCGTGCTTCTCGGTCACGCGCAACATGATGTAGCGTGCGATGGTCAAGTGATCTCCCATCCTCAGCTGGGGCAGCGAAAAAGGGCAGCTCAGGGCAGCAGAGCCTGTGGATCTACACTATCAAACGATCCAACCGCTAGACGTTCTTGGCATGATTCCGGACCTTTTGGTCCCTTCTTCGCTCTCTTGCAACAGGCTTCCCTCAGTGTCCCTGGGACAGACTCCTTTTTCCACCTGCTTATGTCCGAAGATGTTCAAAGTCTGTGTGTGGCGGATGGCCAAAACTCCCCCGAAAGGACTTCCGCCCCGCCACACCGGCGGAGGTCCGAAATTGACCTGCTTCTGCGGCGGGGCCTCCGCCCCCCCAAACGATACAAACCGCTGCCGCGCCACTCGATGCCGCGGCAGGGGCCGATCTGGAACTCCCACCTCAGCCGGTTGGAGGAGCGCTTTTTGGTTGGTGTTCTCATTGGAACCCCATGGCACCATACAGGCCAACCAACTTGCCCAAGCACGCCCTGTCTGGGACTGCCATAGTTGCCGATCAGTTGGGGTGGTTGACATGGGATCTGTAGGCATAGATTCCATACACGAAGTGCCTGGTGTTGGACTTCAATACCTATGGCCACCCGCCACACTTCACGTACAAAGCTGGACTTGTGTATTCAGATACTCTTCAGATGCCTTCAGTCGCAGTGGCTCGAAACCCCTTGACCATCCTTTGGGTCCGAAATGCTTCTCATGCATTTTCCCTCCAATCATCACCGTTTGGTACCCTATAAGGATCCTTGGACCCGACACCTTCACAGGGGTTGAGCCGATCCTTACCTGGTGTTCGAGGGTCCGGATCCTTTGAGTAAGAGTGCCGATATCTGGTCTCCACTCCTCTGACCGAGCCACTGTCCCGGCATCACTTCCGCGTTGATGCCTGAGATCTTCACTCCCGCCAACATGCACATCTTGTAGTGCTCATCTGCCACGGGCCTCACAGCGAGGTCAATGACTGACCAGGCGCAGTCTTTTGGGGGAGTCGAGGATATTGGACTGAAGTGCGAAGTACCGTGCGCCAAAAATCCAGCGTGGAGCAAATATGGGTGCGGTAGTAAAATAGGAAGCCTCCCAGGCAACTCTCTGGAAGGTTCAGGAGATAGTCTACCCAGCCAGGGCCAGGGGAACTGTCTATTCAAATGCACACTCACACGGCCTGCATGACAATGCATGACAGGGGCTTGTCCCATGGATCGTCGGAAGGTTCGTAGGAAACACGCGCCGAAACTCGGAAAATCACGAAACCCTAGGCTTCCAGGCACCATTGGTTTATACGCCCCGGGCCGGAAGTCCCTCAATTCGATAAGAGCTATAGTTAAAGGTTAACCGGCACAGGTGTTGAGTAGTAGTCATACCACTAGTCATACCCTATAGATCCCTATAGGAGTTCAGGAACTCCATGTCTAATTAACACATGGTCTGACCTTTTTTTGGATGACTCGAGTCCAAGAAGTTCCTGACAGCTCACTGTTTGACTGGCAAGTGACAAGTATAAATAAGTAGGATCAAGTATAGAGTCAAGTAGGTCGGTCTGTCACCCCAATTTTCCCACCCAAAAGTTCCGCCAACCCCGCCAATGCCGCACCCCCTGCGACTCCGCGCCTGCCGATGGCCACGTTAAAGCCGGCGCCGGTATAGTATGGCCCTTGGGGTGCGGGCTCGCTGTTGTCGGCGTTGAAGCCCAAAGGCACCGTAGGCTTCATCCCGACCTTCCCTGCGCGGTGGGTGTAGCAGTGGCGTGGGAGGCGCAGTGGAGGCGCGCGCGGCGGGGGGGGAAGCCGTGGAAGGTGCGTGGTGTGTTGGAGGCCTGCAGGGGCAAGAAAGCCCTCAGCTGATGGGAAGCCACCTGATCAGTATTCGGATTTCATGGTCTTCCGAACTCGGGGCCTATGCCATCCACGTCCCAATCACGTCCCAAACATCAGGGAGTGACCATCGAATTGGTCTGGGATCCAACCACCCACCGGAAAGCCACAGGAAATGGGAGGTCCACTCGACCGGTCCGCCGCGGCATCGGAGCACCATGCGCGCGGGCATCGGAGCGCCCCTGCCGTTCTGGCCTGGCTTCATCAGGGTGTACTCCTGCTCGATGCCGAACCAAGGGTCCAGGGAGCGGTACATGTCCTCAGCCCAGAGGTGGGTCAGAACCCGAACCGTTCGACTCTCCTAGTTCGGTACCCCGTGGTGACGGGTCCTAGTTCAGGTCACTTCACCGGAGTGCCGCCTTCACTTCTTCACCATGAGTCACGTTTCAGTGGCTTGGGCGGATTATAACCGATGGCGGTGCGCTTGATGCGTGCCTCGGTGCCACGGTTGAAGGGATGAAAGGGCGACACGACCCGTCTGGGACTTGCCGTAGGACTATTGGGGTGGTTTTGGGGGGGTCTGGCTTGATCGGCAGTCCGCAGTCCCATGGGTCGTGTCTGGGTGGGATGAAAGGGAAACATTTCTGGCGAAAGAGGTTGGGCACAAAGCGGGTTTTGAGAGCAGCCAGGGGTTCTGGGCAGCTAGACATGACTGTTCCAAGACCTCACCGGCGAACGACTGGCGTCCGGTCTGGCTGTCATCTGCGCCAAAGCTGACTTGCACAAAGACTCCGGCCTTACACACAAGTCAACCCCACAGTTCAAACGTGTTCACTTCCCACATGACTGATCTTTTGGAAGGCTGTGGTTGGTTCGTACTCATATTCCACTCACTAAATACATCTACCTAGAACCTGAGTGACCTCTATTTTGGAGCACCAACCACCCAAAATATGGTCATATATGGTCTTTTCCTATCAAAACAGAGGTCAAATGGGTTCTAGGTAAATACATTCCAAATATACCACTCACCCAACCCCTTCCCCTCCGACCTTCTGACCCTTCTTCGGCGCGCAAGAAAGGCGCCATGGTCTCGGCGCACTTGGCGCGGGTGTTGTTCTTCGCCGGCTGGTCGTCCCAGGCATTCCAGGCATCGGCCAAAACCATGACGTGGGGGTAGCCGCGGAACCTAGGTGAGGTGGAAACGTCACGCGCGCACCTGGTTTCAGGGTTTTCTCGTCTGCCGTTCCGGTTCTTGGAAGAACATGGAAGAACTATGTTGACCTGGCTTGGTGGCCGAAATGCATCTAAAATCCTCATTTGTTAATAGAATTAAGATGTAAAAGCATTTGCACCGGGACCCACCAGGGGTGGTTAATGGACACCCCTTAACCTCTAAGGGGCTATCAATAGAATCCCCTCAACGGGCGTCCTGGTTGTTTGGCAAAACCCGTTGAGTGCTGACTCTGCGCCCGGGCAGGCCCTGCACCAGCGCCACCGGAGGCGAAGGCTTGGCTACTGGGAAGCATCCGAATGTAGACTCTTGATTACTCTCTTGATTATAGTTCACCCACGTTCACCCCCCCAAGCCTGAAGAGGCTTTTCAATCCAAATGAATCAAGGGTCTACATTACTTGGAAGATCATCTGAACCATGGGCCGTAGTATGGGAACTCCAACACCAGGCTCGCTCCATGTCAACGAATTAGGCCGGGCTCCTCTGCTCTCCCAATCCGCTCCTCTGCTCTCCCGATCAGCATCAACCACATCCCAGGGGCGGGTCGTTGAAAATCGCCCGCGGCTTCAAAAGTACCTGGCGGTCACCGGAGGGTCGGATCGGCTGGAATCGGATGGCGAAGGTCCATCTGGTCCATCCAGCACTGCTACGGTCACAGGAGCTTTAGCTGGGTCAATGATGTATTGGGGGCTCGAGCTGATGGGGGGGGAGATGGGGGAGCTTATATATACTTAATCCTATGGTGCGCATGACGTACATCAGCAATCGATAAATCTCAATACGGTCGAAGCGTTGTGTTTTTCCGAAACTACTATGAACTACTCACGCCACGTCAGGCCTTGGTGGGGATGCCCAAAATCAATGTGTTTTCAAAGTGTTGATGCTTCAAGGCAAAGCGGACGGCCCTTCCAAGTTAAACAGGTCAAGAATGGGCCGGGTTGTATAAATGGGGCTCACATGGGGACCGAAAATTTCACAATACCTCCCAAAAGTCATAGCAACCAAGAAGACCAACCCCTCTTTCTCTCTTTGGCGAGTATGACTCATCACTGAGCCATCTCACAAAAAACGCCAAGAAGGCCGGGCTGTTCATGTTCACCAGTCACCCCAAGCTGGGCCCAAGTTGCGAAATTCCTGAGGATGACTTGACAATGGCTTCATCCGCCTTCGCCCACCTCCCCCCCGCGCTCGCCCAGCTCGCGTGCGTGGGTGGACCCCACCCAACCGCGCCTCCGAGTTGTGGCCGTCCGCCTGTCCCGTGCTGCTGCCGTCGTAGTTCCACACCTTCAAATCGCTGACCTCCGCCGAGCTCGCCGAGCTCGCTCCCGCCGCCCTCCACTCGAGCTCCCGCTCGAACCGCTCAGCCGGTCTAACACCACCCGATGGGACTGGCATCGAACTGCCGATCCATGGGCCTGGTCGTCCCAGACAAACGCCCGTTTCGAAACGGCAGTCCGGCAGTCCCAGGTCCGGGTCGTGTCTGAGTACACTATCCACTGGGCTTGGCAAACTTGGTCGCTCCAAGTGGGCCTGGCTTTTTGGGTTCGGGTCAGAACTGGAGGGCCCCTGGGTAAAAGCCTCATCCGCTCCCTCCTGAGCAAAAGCTATAGGCTGTAGCTCAACCACATTGAGCAGATTTTTGAATAACAGAAGAAAACCACTCCAATGTAAGTGTCTGGGGCATTGAGCATTCATAGGGAGACCGACCGCCGGCGCCTTCTCTCTCTCTCTCTCTCCCCCCTGTCTGCCCAGCCAGGGCCAAACATACCGGTTTTGGTCACGGCCGACCGTTCCGCCCTTTCCTGGGCTGAACAAGTGGAAAAAGGTTGAAAGTCATCCCCAACACTCCATGGGGTTGGCATGGCATAATTGCATACATGGACCCCAAATCAACCACCCCGAACGCCCGTTTCTCGGCAGCCCGAATCGGCAGTCCCAGTCCCACGGTGTGTCTGGGAATGTCATCCTAGCGGGTCCCTGCCCTAGGCCAACCTCCCTAAGTAGTTTGATTCCTTCTCGGTGGTCAACCAGGGTGTCCCGGTTGCAAACCCACAGCCATATGAGAACCCGGGTGTTGTTGCGAGTTGCAGGATGCATGTCCGCTTGGAGAAACACGTGAGGGATCGGAGTTTGACCGACTCCATCTGACATTCACAGCCTTCAACCCAATCCCATAGACTCCATGTATGCCATATATGCCTACATTGGGGTGGTTTGGGGGGGGCCAATGTAGGCATATATGGCATACATGGAGTCTATGGGAATTGAACTCCAGCAAATTCACCCTCCGGAAAGGCGGTCGGGACCTTCTCCACCGCAACGGCAGGTGTTGAAGCACCCGAAGCTCGGCCACCGAACGGAGAGGGCGAGAGGGCGGTTGACGGTCGACCCAGTCCATGTTCCCCAGACCCATAAGCTGCACCTCCTTGGCTTTGTGGAGGGCTTAGATGTTGCGAGAAGTTTCGACCTCCCCGACAACCCCAAAAAACATCCTATATATACCAGGACCCTCCTGTCGGGGTGCCCTGTCTGGAAGCCTAGTGCGGTAGTGTGGGGTACAGTAGTTCATTGGACACCCCGACAGGAGGGTCCTGGTATGATCGTGATGACATAATCATATGACGTTGTTATGTTATCAACCCTCAATTCCTGCCCAAACGATGGGGCCGCCCCGACCTTGCTGGCACCTTTCTCCCGTCCTCCCTGCACTCGGAATGCACCTTCAAGGGCCGTGCTGTCATCGTCATGGTCTTTGATCGTGTCACGCCATCCGCGTCCAACCAGACCTCGATGATTTGAGCATCTGACGGGTTAGGGGTCACCTGGGAAGCCCGCAAAAATGCCTGGATCCACTGATGTAGGAGGCTCCAAGTCACCTTGTGAACAGGTGACACTCCCTGAAACAATGATTCATGGAAGTGGACAGTGGCCCCGAAAGGAAGACGATTTTCCTCTACCAAGAGGGGGTTGTCCGCTTCCATGATTGTTGCAGGGAGGGTATTGTCGGGATGGATCTCCATTGAACACCCCGCGCGTACCGTACTGGGCGCAGGTGGTGGGTGCACCAGTCCGCCTCAGGTGAGATTGGCCAACTCAGAAAGGAACCCAAAATGTGTCTGGCAGGTAGCTCCAAGCATGTGATGAGTGATGAGTGATTTCGGTGCTGACTTCCGTCAGCCGCTCACAACGCGGCTGAGCACGCGGCCCCTTGATCCGCCCCAAAACGCCGGAGATCGGAAACACCCTCGGGGCGGTCGGTCATGGTTGGTCGTTCTGCGATGCAGGCCACATACTCCGCCAGCACGCAGCCGCTGAAGCTCCGCAACTTCGCCAGGGCCGAGGCGCCGCCATCCTTGCCGACGCTCACCTGAAAGCACGCGGCGTGAGTTTTCGCGTGCGAAGGTTAGCAATATAGGGTCACTCAGTAGGGTCATATAATATATGTATAAGGAATAAAACCTGGGACCGAGGACAAAATGAACAGAAGAAGCATGAAAGAAACGATCAGGGAAGCGACAAACCCAAAAACACGGGATGAACCTCAGAGCTGGAGCAGTGGACCAGTTCGATTATGCCTTTGAAATCTACAGCTTGCAAACAGCTGCCGATGCCATGCTGCAGAACTCTCCGATGACATGCTGCCCCATCTCGCCATCGCGCCATGGGGGGGGTTGGGAGATGAACACCTCATGAACATCTTTGGACTGATGGGTATCCATGAAGTATTCACTCATACTGCATACATCTGCATACTCAGAAGATCTCACTTTCAACTGAGGCCTTGTCGTCCATCTTTCCCTTTGGCTCAGGCTTGGGCGCAGCCTCGTGCACGGGCACGCTTCTATCGCGGGGTGGGCATGGATCAACATGGATCTACTACCCCATACACGACGTGTCTGGGACTGCCATAGGACTGCCGACCAGTTGGGGTGGTGCCAGGGGGGGTCTGGCTTGATCGGCATATATGGCAGTCCCATTAGTCGTGTATGGGTACTGCAGACGGTTCCAAAAAAGACCCTCAGACTTCCTGACATGCAGAGACCTCAAATCAAGAGGCGGTTCCTTCCGCAAAGACCCACGATCTCCACTTCTCAAACGCTTCGCCGTGTGCGGCCGTGGAGAGTGGGTCCCCGGCTGCGCCCCCCCCAAAAAATACCCCATGAGGCCAAGCCTTTGAGGGACACGACCCCAAGTAATCCTCCATGGAGGCTTTGACTGCCATGGAGGATCCAAATATATGGAGTTCCATGGATGGTTGGGGCTGTGAACAGTTACTCTGTGTCTCGCCCCAAACATGGAAACGTCTAACCGGCAAAGCTGGTTAAAGGACAGGGACTGGGAACCCGTTTTCACCCCGAAGTTCTGACCTGTAGACCGACATCTGCCAGAATTGACTCAAGGGAAATTAGATGAAAATCTACCGGAGGTACCACCCAGTTCGGATGGTTTATAGAACCCCCTGCTGACTATATCGATCTATTTCCCATCTAATAGCCACCCTTCGGGTGGTTTCGGCCGAAGCCTATAGTTTTGGGAGGTTACAGGCAAAGCTTCCTTCGGACATGAAAAAGCGCGTAGAGCGGCCGGACAGGACCAGCCCGCTTGAGGGCTCTGCACCCCGCCAGGGTCTTAAAGCCCTCCGCGGACTTAGGTGAAAAGGCTGGCATGATCACTTTTTGATGGCAACCCCCTATGTATGTTCCAGGTGACACGGGCGGTTTTCCACTTCAAGCCCCGAAAACCGGTTTCCGTGCCTTGGCCTTCGCCTTGGGCTTCTCATCTTTCTTGCCGTCCTTCGCCTCATGACCGCCAGAGGGTGGAGTCAACGAAATTGATAAGTACCTCCTGAAACGGTACCTCCACGATGGAAGGTTTATAGACCATGGTATATACTATTTTATACTGGGCATATCGGTATATACCTATACCTGGATCCTCCTTTCCTTTTTCCCTTCGCGCATACTGAGCCTACTGTAGCAAGGCTCTCGGTCTGGAAGGTCATGCACTAGCGGGCTGTCTACTGACCATGGTAATCGGGTTGGACCGAAGACGAGCACTTCCTACTCTAACTAACTTCTCTCGTCTCTGACACTTCCGTGCAGCAATTGTGCTTCCAAGACACCAAGCCGAATGCAATTTGCTGAGCTCTTCACTGCGCGCGTGTTTGTCAAAGGGAAGCTGGAACCTCATGCCCGGTGCCAATCGGGGCGCGCGCCGAAAAGATCACAAGAAACGTGGTCAGTGGTGCACGTACGCCGCGAGCGTGACGTCATCTGTCAGCGCGCCGGCCGTTGCTCGGCCGGACTTGATCAGCTCGTTCAGCTCAGACAACGGCTGAGCAGCGGCACCAAGCATGGCCGTCTGCCCGTCTGAGAACTGGCCTGTTGTCACGACCTCGGAGATGGTGGGCGAGAACTGGAGCGACAGCTCAATGGTCTTCTGCCGGTCGTTGTTTGCCATTCCAGCGATCGCAGCCGCAATCGGGGCAACGTGATCATGGGTCACAGCCGTTAGATTTGCGCGGATCATGCTGGCAGCAAGCGCGGGCGTCGGCTTGTGACCTGTTGTGTTCACCTGAACCTATGACATGGGCCTGGCATTGACTGCTGCCAACTGGGAAAATAGCCTGGCTAGACGATTCATGAACATCAAGATTCCTCAGATTAACTCCAAAAGATCGGCTGACAAATGAGCCATCTAAATGACATTCCGACGACTGCCGAATGGCAATCTCTGATTGGTAACTCAGGCTTGGGCGACGAAAAAAGGGGCGATACGAACAAATGCACTGTCAGCCTTAATTGGCGCCATGTGCAGGAAAGCATCGATTCGACTTTGTTCTTTACAACCGCAGCTAACCAAGCTATGGCTCATTTCGCACCCTCTGCCGAGGCTGACTGATCCAGTTGCTGAGAATTTGATGCTCGAAGCTTCTTGGATCTGCTGCCATCCTGGACTTCTGCTTTTCTCACTGGCGAAGCAGAGAACTTCCCGAAAACCTTGGCCTGATGGAAGGCGTTGGAATCCTCCATTGCTTGAATCAATTCCTCTCCATCTGGAGGCACTTCCAGGTCTTCCGCTTCTGGCAATTGATATAAACATCCACCTCTGCCGGTACGAAATCTTCGTCGTCCATGCAACAGGGCAGATTGTTTGATCGCCTCCAGTAGCTCCTTGAGCTTTGCCAATCTGGCATGAACTTCCTCTAGAGCACTTTTTCTCAGCACCTTGTAATCCGCTTGCTCTCTCTCGTAGGCAGTTTGCAACCCTTGCGCAAAAGACTTCCACTCCTCGTCTATTTCGCGAAGGTCGGACTTGGCCTTCTCGAGCTGTTTGCGTGCCTGAGCAACTTTGTTTACATCTCCATGCGTAATTATAGGCTTGCTCTGCACTGGCTGACTGGGTGCAGCAGTAGCCGCAGCCACAATGATGTCTTCCAGTTCCTTGATAAAACCGGATCCCATGGTTCTCTTGAGCTCTTCGATCTTCTCCTTCATTTCTGGCGCAAATGAAGGAGCCGCCGGTGGCTGCGGTAGTTCTGGCTGTAGGTCGTTGCCTTCCTCCTCGTTGACTGGTGGCATCCGCAAGGCCGGCGTTGTCTTCACCCATGGGACTCCAGGAGAATTCTTCAGCTTGACCCTTCTTCCAGAAAAAGGAGTCCTGCGCATGGATTCCTCCTGCTCTGCACTCTTCTTGGTCTTGTCCTCTTGCTTCTTTCGGATCTGGATTTCGACTTCTGAATTGCCGTTTGCCACCATCTCTTACATTTGTAGCAATAAAGAGTCGCCATATCCATCTCGCACCAGCAAAACCGGCACTGCCAAGTCGTCATGGATCTCGTCTGAGGCGGAGTTGACCCGTGATGACCTTCGAGAATCTGGCTGCAGTTACACGCTCTCTTCAACAGGTTCTTCGCAAAGTTTTGTATTCTCTCCAACCTCAACAAAGCTCTGGCCCGCTTCCGCCTTCTCCTGCGATTGCGGTGCCAAGGAGCTTCCTTCAGGATCACTACGAAGCGAAAAGCCTAGCTGGGTACCAACTAGAACAGCTCACGGGGCCTTGGCTACCTGTGTTTCAACTCTCTCATATAAGCTCAATCGAGCTTGCCCTTGCCCAGTAATCTTGACTTGAACTAGATTGAGCGGGCACTGGACAACAAACTCCAGCGACGCTGGAATCTGAAGCTCGTACACCATGCCAGATGCCCAGACGAGATCGTCAAAGTCAGGTGGCAGGTAGCATGTTGCGAATGACATAAGCAGGAACAATGTTCCCTGCAGGTGCTGTCACCCGATTTGCATTGTTCGCGAAACAAACTGGACACACGATGTTGATAGGTCCAATGTTCAACAAATCATCTCCTGAGCCAGAATGTGTAGGTGCCACTCCTTGCTTCACCCTGTAACGATAAGCAGTGAAACCACCCACCGCAGCTTGATTGACACCGGCCGCTGTCGCAATCTTGTGATAAAACATAGATTGCGGCACCTTGGGCAAACAACCCAACTGTGTCGCGATGTCCAAATTCTTGGTCTGAGCATTCAGAGTGAGGGCATCTGGAGTGTACGTCAAATCGTCTTTCTTCGAAAAGTCTTGGGTATTCATGGAACTCCCAATGAAATTTGCTTGCTCACAAGCGAATGGCAAGATTTGCGGGATTGGCATATGGATGAGCCTCTCACTGACACCTTGTGTAAACAATCTGTTCCCTGGAGGTCCCATCCTCAATCTCTTCCTCTCTAGCCGA